GCACTCTGCCTGCATGCACGCTGGCGCCGTGTCCGTGTGGACATGCACGGGCGCGCGTGTGATGTTTACATTTTATTTTGCTTCGTTTCAACTCGCTCCGCGCCTTTGACGTGTCCCCCAATAATATCAAATTGATAGTAAAATTCCCTGTTCCTTGGCCGCGCGTGAAATTGCGCGAAGCGCGCTCCGGCTACAGAGCCGCACGTGGCTACACCCGCGCTTGGCATTCGCACGCTTGGCTGCGTTCGGGTGCGAAAGATGTTCGACTCACACGCGGACATTCACACCGACACGCACGCAAGGGACGTCGGCGCTGCGCGACGATCTTCTCCGTCGGCTCAGAGCCGTCGTGACGCTGCCCGGGGACTCCGGGAGAACGGCGAGGGGCGGGGGTGACGGCAGACGCCGCGCGTGACGATCGCAACGGCCAAGTTCGTGCCGGTGCCATCACCGTTGCAGTCAGCCGAGACCGCGAGATGAATGTTAGTGTACGTTGAAACTTCTTTCGCGCCGTACGTCGCCAAGCGTGCTAATCGGAGGTGCGGGCCGGGGGGGGGGGGTGTAAACGATAGCAAGCCAACGACAGAAATACATTTTCAATATGGATGTTTTAAAATGCACAGCTACATTGGCTTCCCAATAGCGGATTGAGGAAGAGCGTTCCAGACGGCCGCAGCAGCGCGTCTTGAAGCGCGCGACGCGATGACCGCCGTCTTTGTTCGATGATTATCAGGCAGAAGCCTCCGCTGCTGCTGCGAGCGGAGTTCACGTGGTGGTTCATGCTCCTTTACGAGATCAGCAGCGAGGCATTTTGGTTCACTCGTGGCAAGCACTTTGTGTGTAATGAGAGCGACCTTCCTTATATTACCACGATGACGACAATAACTCAAACTTAGCTGGGACACCACTCTTCGAGCCCAGCGGTGGCGATGTCTGGTGCACGTCGGTACGTAATTGCGGTGCTTCTCGGAATGCCTTCCATCTACAAAACCGCGGCGTTTCCGAGAAGGGAAACGGACGCGGTCGTGGGTGACTCCCTGAGGTCAATTCAGCCTTCGAATGAGTACCTGGTGCGGTATGTAAACAACAGTCTGGTCCGGCTATACGGGGAATCTTTGTCTTTGTTGTGGGGAGCTGTAGTCCCAGCGGTCACGAGCCCGGCAACACGAGTTTCATTCCCGCTAAAGGCAAAACACCGCAGACGATTATCTGCACCGGTCGTGGGCCTCCCCTAGGTCTACTCAGCTTTAAAATGAATGCCTGGCGCGGTGTGTAAACATCAACACTGGGGAGAAAAACGCGGATGGGTGTGGTGCTCACCACCCCAGCCCCTCGTGTTTCGTGCCGGCCTTCATCGGCGCTACTCGCTAGCAATTCTGCGTTCCGTCAAATCACTGTTGGATTATAACCTCCCTAAGCGTTGTGGGTCATGGGAGTGTATTTGACCATATACTTCGCCACGCTCGTGCGGGTCGTTGAATGAATAGGCCGAGAGTTCAGAGGACCGGGTCAGGCATCACACGCCACTGATGTTAGCCGTGCCTGAGAATCGAACTTTGGCAGCCAGGCTCACCGCTCGGTGAGCTCACCGCTCCGTACCGGGCTGGCGTTTACGATACCATAGAGGCGAGGATTGGTGGATCACACACAGAGCGATGTTGGGTGAAATTCCCTTCACGTGGATCGCCAGAAGGCAGTACAGCAAATGGACTGATCTGTAATGTCGCCATGTGTTTCCATCTGTGCGGGGATAGAGCGTTGCACCCTCGCGCAAAGCGTGCATGGGGTATTCCCCGGGTGCTCCGGTTATCCTCCCACACACTTGTCATTCACTGGCTGACAACGTATTTCATATAAATACCCAAATGTGGCAGCCGCATCACCTGAAAAGGAGTCCCGCAACTCGGCTTGGGTATCCCGGGTAGGTGGGTAAACAGGTGAACAGGTAAACAGGTGAACAGGTAAACAGGCGAACAGGTAAACAGGTGAACAGGTAAACAGGTGAGCAGGTAAACAGGTGGATAGGTGAACAGGTGGACAGGTGAACAGGTGGATAGGTGAACAGGTGAACAGGTAAACAGGTGAACAGGTAAACAGGTGAACAGGTGAACAGGTAAACAGGTGAAAAGGTGAACAGGTAAACAGGTGAACAGGTGAACAGGTAAACAGGTGAGCAGGTAAACAGGTGAACAGGTAAACAGGTGAATAGGTGAACAGGTGAACAGGTGGACAGGTAAACAGGTAAACAGGTGAACAGGTGAACAGGTAAACAGGTGAACAGGTAAACAGGTGAACAGGTGAGCAGGTAAACAGGTGAACAGGTAAACAGGTGAACAGGTGAAGTGTCACGCAGGGCCGGCAGCCGGCGCACGGTGGTGACTCCGGTCTGGGTCGGGCCGGGTTCAGCAGGAGGAGGAAATGACGCCGGGTGGCGAATTTCCTCGTTCATTGTTGACATGGTAGCAGGTAAAGCCTGCTGAGCCGTGAGTTCTTGTTCAGAGGCGACCTTGCCACACGTGACGATAGCTCATTGTCGTAGTGGCTGATAACATCATCATCACTACACGTGGGAATGTATAGCAGCAGCCACATCATCTCAACGCGTGTTTATTTCAAATGTGGAGGAGGAGGAGGAGCGCAAAACACGAAGGAAGAACCCGGGGAAAGATCCACGCCTCGACCACCGCGGGAGGGAGAGAGAACACGCCGACTCCAAATATACAGCAACGGGCATCGCCAGGGTCCGGGATCGAACCCACGTCCCTGCGTGGGGTGCTCCTCTGGCACGGCGCGGTCGTACAGTCAGCGGCAGCAGCAGCAGCAATGACTCGAGGTGGTCATTAGCCTAGGGTCATAGTCATGGGTCAGAGCCTAGGGTCGAGACACAAAAAAAAACGTGATTTCAAAATGCACTTCGACATTGCCAAACGCCTCGCGGCTGGCGCGGAGGGAGATCTCTTGACGCGGATCTCGTTACATCGCCTTCGAACGGCCACGAGTCGACGGGTGGAGGAGGAGGCGTGACGCAGGCGCGTGACTGTGACGCGCCTCGGACCACGGAGCGTCTCTCCAGTCTGTGGGCTCCTGTCGGGGACCTCGCCAGCACTACAGACCACCGCCACCACCATCACGGGCCACGGTCTATCCACTGCTGGCCACACCATCATCACCATCATCATCACGTGCCCGATAGTGGTAAAGCACGTGACTGTGGTAGCAGCTCACGAGAAGAGGATTGAGAGGCCTGCCGAGGGAGGATTGGGGCCCTGGTACTGTGGCCTGGTGGCCCAGTCCCGACTCTTCACCCTCCATCTCCGTTGGTTGATGTGGGAGCTCTGCCCAGGCCTGGATGGTGCAGCCAGTGCTGTTGGCGCACAATTTTAGCGAACAAAAAATTGCCGGGGGGGGGGGGGGGACGGTAGGCGAGATTGTAAATTTGTTTTCGTAAACGAAACGGGGTGGCTTCGACATCAACAGCAAAATCACACGGCCACGCGCTGATATTCACTCAGCAAACTATCAAGTAACATTAACACAACTAAACTATTTATTTTATTTTATCAATTTATTATTTTATTCTCATTCTACGTGACTTTACCGAAAGAACCAAAGAAGATATTTATTTTTATTTTACTAGGTAAGGACCATGGAGCTATATAGCTCTTTTTCAGAAGCGACCTGGCCACACGTGATGATAGCACAACGAAGTGGCTTATCGCGTGGAAATGTGTTGCAGCCAAAATACTCGAAATGATTTTTTCTAGATGTGGAGGGAAACAACCGTAAGAAAAATCCACGTTACAAGAGGGAGAGAGAGAGAGAGACATGAAAACTCCAAATATACAGCAAGCGTCAGGATCGGGATCGAACCCACAACCTCCTGTGTACCAGGCGAGGTAGTTGACATCTTGGGGCACTTGGTAGTTGTTTTATTCACCCAGGAAAGCCTCGCTGAGCCTCAATGCAAATCTTCCGCAGTGTTCCTGCCACGTTTTCGCAGTCGTGGGGGGAGATGGCCCGAGGCTGCTACTGCGTGTGATCCCAATCGAGTAATTTGCAGGTAATGGTACAGCAGTGTGATGTGCTTGGTTCTTTCGGTAAAGTCACGTAGAAGGGAAACAATAAAATATTGTTTTATATTTTTTATTATTTTATTGTTTCCCTTCTACGTGACTTTACCGAAAGAACCAAGGATATGAATCCCTGCAGTCACGAAAGCTTTAAATCAAAATTCAGTGTGTTGTTGTTTTGGCCAGCACCAGTTCCGTTGTTCGGGCTTTTGTCTATGGGAGGAAATCGGAGGACGTGGAGAAATCTCACGTGGAACAGGAGGGCAACATACACACTCCACACGTCGAAGCGCCCGAGTCGGGAATCGAACCCAGGCGCTTGTTGCTGTGAGGCACGAGCGTCATCACAACACTGCCTTCCCGCACTGAGGATTTTAACATAACTCCAGACATTTATGTATTTGTCACATCCATGACAGAGGCTGCATTCTCCTCTCGCTTGCTGCGTCTGTTGCGTTCTGCCCGAGGGTTGGCAGTGGCCCAGGGGCTGCCATGGCGTCGCAGGGACACGCGAACGGGCCCTCGGGGGCCGCCTCTTCCCCCGAGGTGGCCGCCTTCCTCTCCGGGAGCGACTCCCTCGAGGACATCACGGACCTCGTCAAGGTCAATCCCGTCACCACGGAGACCGGTAAGTGCCCTCGTGGTAAGGATGCATCGTCAACGCCCGCCTACTTTTACATAGCCACGCCGACTCACCCACTGGTCCCGCCCACTACTCAAGTAGCCACGCCCGTTCACCCACTAGCCCCTCACGAAGGTAGCCCCGCCCACTACTCGGGCCGTTTCCGGTGGCTCGTCATCTTCACCGCTCTGGATTTCGTCTCTGGACCCATGACCTAATTTCTGACCCTTGACCTTCACCCTCTTGTCAGAGAAGCTCAGCAGAATACCGCGAGCAGCAGCAGCACCGCCTGATGCGCGTCACTGGACATGTGTTTGCGACAAGAGCTTCGTAGCTCATCGGATTTGTCCAGTATAAATACACATCCTGATTGCTGGTGTCTAGCGCTGGAACGATTCACCCGCCCTGACGATTGCATTCACGGTCGCGATTTGTGACCCCCCCCCCCCATCCCTTGACCCCGCCCCCCCCGCAGTACTGCGCTGTCTGTGCTTGCGCTACGAGCACGGAGCGTTCTACACGCGCGCTGGCTGCACCCTGGTGGCGCTGAACCCCTTCCAGGCGGTGCCGCTCCTCTACGCCAGTGCCACCGTGCACGCCTACCACACCAGCCCTCGCCTGCTGGTGCCCACGCACACACCGTGTGGGGAGGGGGGTAGAGTCGTGGGTCCTGGCACGGAGTTTGTAAGCGCTGGTGGTGTCTGGCAGCGGCGACGCTGAACTAAATTTAGACTTCAAACTTTCGTGACTACAGGAATTCATATTCTTGGTTCTTTCGGTAAAGTCACGTAGGTAGAAAACGCAAAGCTGAATGAAAAGCGAAAAACCCACGACGCTTCGATGGCAACACACTGTTCAACTATTTATATTTTACCAGGTAAGGCCCCACTGTGCCGTGTAGCTTTTTTCTTCAGAAGCGTCCTGGTCCCACCAATGAGAGCTGCTCGACGGAGTGGGCTTATCAGCGTCGTGTGGACATTTACAGCAGCAGCCAAAGCCTCTCAACGCATGCTGACGTTGATTCTAAATGTGGAGGGAAAACACCCGGAGGAACCGGAGAAAAATCCACGCGACCACGGAGAGAGAGAGAGACGCAGACTCCAAATATACAGCAGCAGCAGCAGGCGTCAGGGTCGGGATCTAACCCACGAACTCCTGTAGACCAGGCGAGGTAGTTAACATCTCCTAGCCACCGTGATGATGATGATGATGAGGGAGAGAGACACGCTAACTCCAAATATACAGCAGGCGTCAGTGTTGGAATCTAACCCACGACCTCCTGTATACCAGGCGAGGTAGTTAACATCTCATAGCCACCGTGATGATGAGAGAGAGAGAGAGACACGCAAACTCCAAATATACAGCAGGCGTTAGGGTTGGAATCCAACCCACGAACTCCTGTATACCAGGCGAGGTAGTTAACATCTCATAGCCACCGTGATGATGAGAGAGACACGCAAACTCCAAATATACAGTAGCAGGCGTCAGTGTTGGAATCGAACCCACGAACTCCTGTATACCATCGAACCCAACAGCTGCCATAGACCAGGCGAGGTACAAAGTGGCACTAATGAGGGGTGAGTGCACGCATGTGTCTCTTCATTATCCAGGAGTATTCGTCCGTACGCGTGTGTTTACTATTCATGATTGCACACCTGCGTGTTTAATATTCATGAGTAACCCTGAGTATATTGGATCGAGTGGTGGCACTGTGCTTAGCACACCACGCGATAAACTCAGTCATCGTCATCAGCAGCAGCCTGATTTACGCGATCTAACTAAAAATCCTCTATTATGGATAATATTGGTCGCGAAAGCCTACTACTGCGTGTTAAACTGATTGTCGGCCCCCACCCACAACATCAACCCGCATTGACCAGTACGGTGAAGTATGGTCAAACGTGCCCCGTGACCGACACGGCGCGGGTTAGGCCCTGGATCGAGAATGCGCTGCAAACCCTGCTACCGTGTTCAGAATCAGAATCTTTATTCATGCCGGTGGAATCCGATGAGCTATGAAGCTCTTTTTAAGCACAGATGTTCAGTGGCGAGGCGCTGTCGCCGAGAGCCGAGTCCCCGCCGCCGACCAGTGAGCACGCACGTGGCTATGACCGCTACGCGCGAGCGGGGACACGATTCGTCAGGGTCACTTTGCGTGAAAATTCACCAACGAGGCGCGAGCAATAAAACAGTGACAGAAAGCTAAAGGGGGGGGGGGCACCCCCCCACCACGTTACGCAATCTTTAAACGGACACAGAGCCAAGCGTCGAACCGAGAGAGTGCTTTCGCAAGCCGTGTCCGAGATTCCACCGTGGACTTGAGTCCCGTTGCGCGCGAGCCTGCGGGCTCTATCCGCTGCTGAGTGAGAGCCGTCGGCGTTCCCCTCCCCCCCCCACCCCCCGCAGGAGCTGGAGCCGCATCTGTTTGCCGTGGCAGAGCTGGCGTTCCGCAGCGCCACGAGCGGGCCCGACCCCAGGGATCAGTCCGTGGTGGTCAGTGGGGAGAGCGGCGCTGGCAAGGTGCCGCACGCCGCCGCCGCCCTCACCACCACCACGCGCAGCCGCACAGGCACCGGGAAACGGCACAACCGCACAACTGCCCAGCCGCTCAGGCACACGGCTAGGAAGGCACACAACTACAGATCACAACAACCGGGACACCGCACAACCGCATGACCACACAGCCACACAACCACATAATGACAGATCACAACAACGGGGACACCGCACAACCGCATAACCACACAGCCACACAACCGCCACCACTTTGACGTCAGCAACTATCACGTGACCCAACCGCTACCCAATTATCACCGTCTCCACCATCACACGACCAGCATTTCACCACCACACCCAGCAGCACCACCACCACCTGAGCACTCGAGTGAGATGAGAGGAGAGAGGAAGAAGGCGAGTTCGTTGCAGGCAGGGATCAGCAACGAAAATAACAAGAACAGACATTTGTTTCTAAATTCGGTAAAAGAAAACTGTATTTTAAAGCTGCAATGCACTGTGGTGAATACGAGACAGTGGTCCTGAATACAAACTTTCTTCACAAAACATTCCCTAATGAGCCGCAGGCTGCCGACCCCTTCCCATAGTAAACTGGACTTCCATGGTAAACTTGACTTCCATGGTAAACTGGACTTCCATGGTAAACTGGACTTCCATGGTAAACTGGACTTCCGTGGTAAACTGGACTTCCATGGTAAACTGGACTTTCGTGGTAAACTGAACTTCCATGGTAAACTGGACTGCCATAGTAAACTGGACTTCCATGGTAAACTGGACTTTCGTGGTTAACTGAACTTCCATGGTAAACTGGACTTCCATGGTAAACTTGACTTCCATGGTAAACTGGACTTCCATGGTAAACTGGACTTCCGTGGTAAACTGGACTTCCGTGGTAAACTGGACTTCCATGGTAAACTGGACTTCCATGGTAAACTGGACTTCCGTGGTAAACTGGACTTCCGTGGTAAACTGGACTTCCATGGTAAACTGGACTTTCATGGTAAACTGGACTTTCGTGGTAAACTGGACTTCCATGGTAAACTGGACTTTCATGGTAAACTGGACTTCCGTGGTAAACTGGACTTCCATGGTAAACTGGACTTCCATGGTAAACTGGACTTCCGTGGTAAACTGGACTTCCGTGGTAAACTGGACTTCCATGGTAAACTGGACTTTCATGGTAAACTGGACTTTCGTGGTAAACTGGACTTCCATGGTAAACTGGACTTTCATGGTAAACTGGACTTTCGTGGTAAACTGGACTTCCATGGTAAACTGGACTTTCATGGTAAACTGGACTTTCGTGGTAAACTGGACTTCCATGGTAAACTGGACTTTCATGGTAAACTGGACTGCCATAGTAAACTGGACTTCCATGGTAAACTGGACTGCCATGGTAAACTGGACTTCCATTTTGTTCGAATTTGGTTAAAAAAACAACAACCCCTCAATATATCAAGAGCCGAAATGCCGCTCCTTAAAGAGTCGCATGTGCCTCAGGAGCCGCCTGGTTGCAGGGGGAGTGGAGCCGCGGGTGATGGGGGTGGGTGGCAGGGGGTGATGGGTGGCAGGGGGTGATGGGTGGCAGGGGGTGATGGGTGGCAGGGGGTGATGGGTGGCAGGGGGTGATGGGGTTGGGTGGCAGGGGGTGATGGGTGGCAGGGGGTGATGGGTGGCAGGGGGTGATGGGTGGCAGGGGGCGATGGGGGTGGGTGGCAGGGGGTGATGGGTGGCGGGGGGTGATGGGTGGCAGAGGGTGATGGGGGTGGGTGGCAGGGGGTGATGGGGGTGGTTGGCAGGGGGTGATGGGGGTGGGTGGCAGGGGCTGGACAGCCCTGCGGCTGGGGGCGTCAGGGCCGGCCTCACGCGTGTGGTGCCCCCCCCCCCCCCCCCCAGACGTGGTCCTCTCGCTGCCTCATGCGCTACCTCGCGCTCGCCTCGCGCCCGGGCGGCGGCGGCGGCGGCTCGGCCCCTGGAGACGCCGGAGGAGCGATTAGTGACGTCAACGACCAGCCCCAGGAGCAGCTCCACCCCCAGGAGCAGCTCCAGCCCCAGGAGCAGCTCCAGCCCCAGGAGCAGCTCCACCCCCAGGAGCACATCGAGCGCGTGCTCCACTCCAACCCCCTCATGGAGGCTTTCGGTGCGCACTCGCCTCCCCCCTGTCCCCCGCTCCCCACCGGTTGCAACCTCCACCACTCCCCACCTCTCCGTCACCTCCTCTGCCCCCTCTTCCTCCATCATCTTCCACCCACCCACCCCCTCCTCCTCCCCCTTCTACCCCCCCCCCCGCCTCCTCTCCTATCCCCATAATCTGCCACCACCACCACCTCCTTAATCATATCGACCCTCCCTCCATCCCCCAATCTCCCACCACCTCCCCCTCTTCCCCCCACCCCCAATCTCCCACCACCTCCCCTCCCCCCCCCCCTATTATAGTGCAATGCACTGCACGTACGTAAGTGGGAAACGCGTTCCCTTAACGTATTACATTTATCTGAAATTAAATTAAATGTAAAAAATATATAAAGGCGCAGCCCTACAATTGATCGCTCATGCCGCTGCTGGTGGAAGAGCCTGAACCAGGGGGAGTTCTGGAGAGCCCCCACCGGCCAGACGACTTGAAAGACAATTCAGTTTAGTTTATTTAGGTATAGCCCTGTGAGCCATTCGGCTCTTGAATCGGGTGCAACCACAACAAACAAAAAACACACGAACAAGAAAAACATCTTAAAGTGACTTTGTGACTGTGCAAACAGAAAATCCATGGAAAAAAAACCAGCAAAAATATTCCTGAAAAAATCACCGTACACCAACGCTGTGTGCAAAAAATCTTAGTGGGATGCAAGTCAAACAACAACAACAACAACCACAAAAACTTAGATTAAGGCCATCAGTCTAACTCCATACCACAACAAAAACAAACATGTCGAAACCAAGACGTGTGAGTACCCACACTTACCCCACCAGGGATGACCGGCCCAGTCAACAGAGGAGGCGGGAGTGTGGGGGGGGAATGTAAGAAATCCGTATCATTGTTTCAATAACCGGGACGGGAGGTCGAACCGGCGACCTCTTGGATTGCAAGTCGGCGGTGCGAGGCTGACCATTCGCACCGCGGCAGCGCCCGTGAGGCGCTCTGCGCCGGTGGCTGAGCCACCTCTAGGGGGACATCGTGGCCCGGCAGCTTCGCGAGCAGAGAGGCGCACGGCTCACGCGGCAGCTGCCCTCCGTGCGTGCCACGTGTCCCCCATCGTGCGCGTCACTTGTCCATGCGTGTCCTCCGTGCGTGCCACGTGTCTCCCGTGCGTGTCACGTGTCCATCGTGCGCGTCACGTGTCCATCATGCGCGTCACTCGTCCATGCGTGTCCCCCCGTGCGTGTCACGTGTTCCCCATCATGCCCGTCACTCGTCCATGCGTGTCCCCCGTGCGTGTCACGTGTCCCCCCGTGCGTGTCACATGTCCATCGTGCGCGTCACTTGTCCATGCGTGTCCCCCGTGCGTGTCACGTGTCTCCCGTGCGTGTCACGTGTCCATCGTGCGCGTCACGTGTCCATGCGTGTCCCCCGTGCGTGTCACGTGTCCCCCGTGCGTGTCACTTGTCCATCATGCGTGTCACTTGTCCATCATGCGTGTCACTTGTCCATGCGTGTCCCCCGTGCGTGTCACGTGTCCATCATGCGCGTCACTTGTCCATGCGTGTCCCCCGTGCGTGTCACGTGTCCTCCGTGCGTGTCACGTGTCCATCGTGCGCGTCACGTGTCCATGCATGTCCCCCGTGCGTGTCACGTGTCCCCCGTGCGTGTCACTTGTCCATCATGCGTGTCACTTGTCCATCATGCGTGTCACTTGTCCATGCGTGTCCCCCGTGCGTACCACGTTTCCATCATGCATGTCACGTGTCAATCATGCGTGCCATGTGTCAATCATGCGTGTCATGTGTCCCCCGTGCGTGTGCGTAGGTAACGCGTGCACGCTTCGCAACAACAACAGCTCGCGCTTCGGCAAATACGTGCAACTTCAGTTGAACAGGTACACAAAGATGTGCAGCTGCACGTGAACAGGTACACAAAGAAGTGCAGCTGCACGTGAACAGGTACACTAAGATGTGCAGCTGCACGTGAACAGGTACACTAAGATGTGCAGCCGCACATGAACAGGTACACTAAGATGTGCAGCTGCATGTGAACAGGTACACAAATGTGCAGCTGCACATGAACAGGTACGCAAGGCGTGCAGATGCACATGAACAGGTACGCAACGACGTGCAGCTGCACGTAAACAGGTACACAAAGACCTGTAGCTGCACGTGAACAGATACACAAAGACGTGCAGCTGCACGTGAATAGGTACAAAAGACGTGCAGCTGCACGTGAACAGGTACACAAATACGTGCAGCTGCACGTGAACACGTACACAAATACGTGCAGCTGCACGTGAACAGGTACATAAAGATGTGCAGCTGCATGTGAACAGGTACACAAAGATGTGCAGCTGCACATGAACAGTTGGTTGAGGATTCTGTTAATGATGAGTATGGTAATACTGATGATTACCGTCAGACTGGAGGTGATGAGTCTGGTAATGAAAATAATGGTGATGATAACTGGTGATGATAACTCTGGTGATGATGCCGATTACTGTTAAAGATGAATCTGGTGATGATTCTGATGATGATCATGATGCACATTCGAGTGTCGATGATGATTCTGGTGATGATGCTCGTTATTTTTTGTACTTTTTGTAACTCGCTGACCCGGCCCTACTGGACATCTGTGTAAAAGAGCTTCATTGCTCATCGGATTCCTTCGGTCTGATTCGAATTGGGGTGACGATGACGACGATGGTGACCATGATGACGGTGTGCCTGCAGTGAGCACGAGCTGGTGGGCGCCTCCATACAGACGTACCTGCTGGAGAAGACCCGTGTGGTCTTCCAGGCACCCCACGAGAGGAACTTCCACATTTTCTACCAGGTGCCACTTCACGCCGCCAGGGCCGCCCATCACCTGCCCGCCAAACCTGCCACTCTTCACCTGACCCAAGAGCCCCCACGCACCACAATCCTGACCTGACTGCGACCCTCGACATTCACGCGTGACCGCACCAGGACCCCAGCAATATCCTCCGGGGCGATAAACTAAACTATGTTCATTTTACCAGGCAAGACCCACCGGGCTATGTAAGGCCCACCGGGCCTGAACATCGCAAAGTATAGCTCCACTAAGCGGCGTATCTTGTAGGGATGTACAGCAGCCAAATACAGGAGAGCTTTGAATATCGAGGGTTTATCGTTCGCGGTTTCGACGTATCACGGGCGACCTCTTTCTATGCCAATTTAGCTACACCGCGGGTGGTTAGTTGTGGCCTTTCGCGGGTACGCTGTACCCAGAAGTAGTGTCACGTTGGCTGGAACCGTGGAGCGGGGCGGGCAGGGGACACGAGGCATCTCGGGAACAAAGACCCCCCGTGTAGCCTTCACAGACTGTAGGGGCAAGTGCTGCTGTTAGCGAGCACCTATGAAGGCCGGCACGGCACACGAGGGGGTGGGTGGCCAGCACCACGTCCGGATGCCTTTGTCTCCCCAGTGGCGATGTTTACACACCGCACCAGGAACTCATTTGAGGCTGAGTCGACCTATGGGAGACCCAGAAACCGTTCAGATAATCGTCACTGGGTGTTGGCCGCGAGAGGGAATCGAACTCGGGTCGCCGGGTTCCAAGCGCAGCGCGCTAAATGCTGCACTACCGCTCCCCACTGGTCACACACACACATAAACACATGCACACAACTACCGAATTATAAGACGAACTCTCAACATTTGCTTTAATATTCGGTAGGGAGTGCCTCTTGCAATCCAGATAATACGGTACCATTAACCCTAGACCTGACCACGACCGCGAACACTAATCCCTGACCCTCATCAAAACCCCCCAAATGATCAACACTGACGTCACCGTGCATCGCGATCCTGCCCGCGAGCATCGGCGAAAGGTTGACCTCTGACCTAAGCACCAGCCCCGCCCTTCCTCCCCAGATGGTGAAGGGTGCGAGCGAGCAGGAGAGGGAGGCGTGGGACCTCCCCGCGGAGGCAAAATTCCCGTGGCTGCCCAACGCCGAGCAGCACCTCGAAGGTTCGACTCCCGACCCTGGTGAATCCAGCCCAGCGGTGGCAGCGCCACTGCTGGCTGAGTTGAATGTTAAAGTTCGTTTTGTGCAGCCAGGCGATAACTGAGCAGGGTTAGGGTCTCACCTGCATGGGCGACCTGGGGCACCACAATGACAATGAGATGACGGTTCTGTACAGGGTGGCATGAGGGTTCTGTATCGGATGGCATGAGAGTTCTGTACAGGGTGGCATGAGGGTTCTGTATCGGATGGCATGAGAGTTCTGTATCGGATGGCATGAGAGTTCTGTATCAGATGGCATGAGAGTTCTGTATCGAATGGCATGAGAGTTCTGTATCAGATGGCATGAGGGTTCTGTATCAGATGGCATGAGAGTTCTGTATCGAATGGGACGAGGGTTCTGCTCTGGATGGCATGAGAGTTCTGTATCGGATGGGACGAGGGTTCTGTGTCAGATAGGACGAGGGTTTTGTATCGGATGGGACGAGTGTTCTGTACAGGGTGGCATGAGAGTTCTGTACCGGATGGGACGAGGGTTCTGTATCGGATGGGACGAGGGTTTTGTATCGGATGGGACGACCGTTCTATACGGATGGGACGAGTGTTTTGTGTCAGATGAAATGAGGGTTCTGTCCCGCCTCGAGACGTCATCGTCGAGTTCATGCGTCCTTCTACCCCTCCCTCTCCCGCCCGTCACCCAGAGGACGACTTCGAGGTGACAAAGGTGGCCATGGTGAACCTGGGCATGGAGCCTGGCCAGCGAGACCTCGTCTTCCAGGTGAGGGCCCTGCGTCCCTCCCGGCCGCCCCCCACCATTCCTCCCTCCGCTTCCCCGGCGCCCGGCCCCCCCGGTCCCTCCCCCCAATTCCTCGCTCCGCGTCACCCCGCCGGAGTCCCTCGGGGTTCCCCGTCTCGTTTCCAGGAGAGGCAATGGACCCGAAGTCGCCACGACTATCGCGGCTTGCCCATTGCCAAGACATTGTTGCAAATGTAGTGGATTCGAATTTAGGCGCACGTAACTTCTTGGGAGGCAACACTTATTTATTAATGAACACAACAGTTAACTCTTACATTACGCATTGGGTGGTGACCAACGACTTACTCTAGCTAACACACACTTCTCAGATACTCTAGCGTGATCCAGCCAGGTGGGCTACTGGCAGGTCCGCTGGCTGGAGGATTGACTCTTCTTGGCGTCTTCACGATGTATCTTCACTCTTGATACGGGCAGCAGCCTCGAACCTCGTGAGGAGGCTGCTTATATGGGCCTTGGCGTGCCCGGGCCTCGCTCTGGCCACGCCTCCCTCCGAGAACCATCTCGAAGCCCCCCCCCCCCCCCTGCTGTCCACGTGCCCCCCGAGGTGCCCCCTAGGCCCTCAGTCACGTGTCCAGCCGGGGTCACAGAGAGTGCCACGACCTCACACCACCCTCGTGGCCTCCCGAGTCCAGAACCGGCCCTGACGTCATTCCTGCCTCCAGCCGGGGATGACGTCATGTGTGTGTGTAGACCCGCGTGTTAGTGACGCTCCCCCGCATAGTGACGTCACACGTGTGCGTGTGTACACAGTCGTGCTGCTACAACAATCACTACACAATGTTGATTTGAGTTATTTTCTGGGTGTGCGGTGTGCTGTGCATGCTGCGTGTGTGCTGCGTGTGTACTGCGTGCGTGTGTGCTGCGTGTGTACTGCGTGTGTGTGTGTGTGTGCTGCATGCGTGTGTGCTGCGTGTGTGTGCTGCATGCGTGTGCCCTGCGTGCGTGTTGACTGCGTGCGTGTGTGCTTCGTGCGTGCTGCGTGTGCCGCAGGTGCTGTCGGCGCTGCTGCACCTGGGCACCGTGAGCTTCACGCAGCACGACGAGGCGAAGCCGTGCAGCGTGCAGCCTGCGGCCCACGGTGCGTGCTGCTGCACAAGTGTGTGTGCGTGCGTGTGTGTGCGTGTGCACGTGTGTGTGCGTGTGTGTGCGCGCGTGTGCGCGTGTGTGTGTGTGCGCGCGTGTGCGCGTGTGTGTGTGTGCGCACGTGTGTGCACGGTGTGTGTGCACGTGTGTGTGTGTGTGCGTGTGTGTGCACGTGTGTGTGCACGTGTGTGCACGTGTGTGTGCACGTGTGTGTGTGTGTGCGTGTGTGTGCACGTGTGTGTGCACGTGTGTGCACGTGTGTGTGCGTGTGTGTGCACGTGTGTGCAAGGTGTGCACGTGTGTGCACGTGTGTGTGCACGTGTGTGCACGTGTGTGTGCACGTGTGTGTGTGCACGTGTGTGCACTTGAACATTGGGAGCGGAGACGCCACAATTCGCGCGCTGTGCGACTCAACCAACGATCAAGGTTCAATTCCCGTTCACGGCCACCGACACCAGTGGTGATGACAACCTGAGGCGGCCCTGGGCCTCCACTAGGTCGACTGAGCCTCAAATTAATACCTGGTGTGGTGTGGGAGACAAAGGCGGCCGGGCGTGGTGCTGGCCACCCACCCCCTCGTGTGCTGTTCCGGCCTTCACAGGCGCTGCTCACTAACAGAACCTGCCCCAACAGTCTGTCGAGGCTACACGGGGGACCTTTGTCTGTGTGTGGTGGGCAGGGAGCCTGGCGGCTGCGTGCCGCCTGCTGCGCCTGCCGGAGGACGCCGTGCGCGCCGGCCTCGTGCTGCGCCAGATCGCCACGACGCAGGGCGGGCGGCGCTCCGTGCTGCTCGCCACCTGCACGCGGCGCGAGTGCAGCACGCGGCGCGACTGCCTCGCCAAGCTCGTGTACACGCGGTGAGCACACGTGTGTGTGTGTACACGTGTGTGTGTACACGCGGTGAGCACACGTGTGTGTGTGTACACGTGTGTGTGTACACGCGGTGAGCACACGTGTGTGTGTGTGTACACGCGGTGAGCACACGTGTGTGTGTACAGGTGTACACGCGGTGAGCACACGTGTGTACACGTGTACACGCGGTGAGCACACGGGGTCGGGGGGGGGGGGCACGCGGGGTCACGCAGGAGCGCTCAGGGTCGCGTGGGGTCAGGGTCGTGGGGTCAGGGTCGTGGGGAGGGTCGTGGGGTCAGGGTCGTGGGGAGGGTCGTGGGGTCAAGGTCGTGGGGTTAGGGTCGTGGGGTTAGGGTCGTGGGGTCAGGGTCGTGGGGCTCAGCCTTAAATGAGTAACGGGAGACAAAGGCGGCCGGGCGTGGTGCTCGACTTAACAAAGTGCTGCTCGCAAACAGCACTTCACCAACAGGCTGTTAAAGGCTATACGGGGGACCTTTGCCTCGTGTCCGCGTGTGCAGGCTCTTTGAGTGGCTCGTGGCGCTGGTCAACACGAGGATTGGCGCCGGCTCCAGCACGTGGAGCCGATTCATCGGTAAGAGTTGCCCGGCGAGGAGTCGCCCCCCACCCCCCATCCCCGGGGCTCGCTCCCTCCCCACGGGGGGTCTCGTACCTCCTCCTCCCCCTACCTCCTCCTCCCCCTACCTCCTCCTCCCCCTACCTCCTCCTCCCCCTCCTCCACCCCCTCCCTCCTGCTCCACGTCTTTTCTCCTCCGCCGTCTCCCTGCCGCCGCCGCTGCTCCGCACCGCCGGCGTCGCGAGACGAGGAAGGCGCTCGGGAGCCTCTCCCGTGTCGCTGGACACGGGAGAGGCTCCCGTGTCGCTGGACACGGGCCCGCTGAAGCGGACGTCACAGAGCTACCTCGGAGATCCCTTCGAGCGATCTGGCCCACGCGGTAGAGGGCGGCAGTCTCCCAGCCGCTCCGCCGAACGAGAGCAAATGTGCGGCGCGCGGCGCTCCAGCCGATAATATTGGAGCTGGACGCTCAGGCGAATGAAGTGCCGAGGGAGATTGAATGAAATCGCAGTGTCTTGGTGTGTGCGGTCATCTTGGTGTGTGTGGTCATCTTGGTGTGTGCGGTGTCTTGGTGTGTGCGGTGTCCTGGTGTGTGCGGTGTCTTGGTGTGTGCGGTGTCTTGGTGTGTGCGGTCATCGGTGATCCGGCCGAGAACCATGAACTCACTGCATCTGAGAAGCCGGTTTCATTACAACCCTGTCCATGTGAGTCTGTGGGTCTCTGTGTGCGTCTATGGGTCTCTGTGTGAGTCTATGGGGTCTCTGTGTGAGTCTATGGGTCTCTGTGTGAGTCTATGGGTCTCTGTGTGAGTCTATGGGTATCTGTGTGAGTCTGTGGGTCTCTGTGTGAGTCTGTGGGTCTCTGTGTGAGTCTATGGGGTCTCTGTGTGAGTCTATGGGTCTCTGTGTGAGTCTAAGGGTCTCTGTGTGAGTCTATGGGTCTCTGTGTGAGTCTATGGGTCTCTGTGTGAGTCTATGGGTCTCTGTGTCAGTCTATGGGTCTCTGTGTGAGTCTATGGGTCTCTGTGTGAGTCTATGGGTCTCTGTGTGAGTCTATGGTTCTCTGTGTAAGTCTATGGGTGTCTGTGTGAGTCTATGGGTCTCTGTGTGAGTCTATGGGTTTCTGTGTGAGTTTATGGGTCTCTGTGTGAGTCTATAGGTCTCTGTGTGAGTCTATGGGTCTCTGTGTGAGTATATGGGTCTCTGTGTGAGTCTATGGGTCTCTGTGTGAGTCTATGGGTCTCTGTGTGAGTCTATGGGTCTCTGTGTGAGTCTATGGGTCTCTGTGTGAGTCTATGGGTGTCTGTGTGAGTATATGGGTCTCTGTGTGAGTCTATGGGTCTCTGTGTGAGTCTATGGGTCTCTGTGTGAGTCTATGGGTCTCTGTGTGAGTCTATGGATCTCTGTGTGAGTCTATGGGTCTCTGTGTGAGTCTATGGGTCTCTGTGTGAGTCTATGGGTCACTGTGTGAGTCGGTGGGTCTGTGTGAGGCTGTGTGAGTCTATGGGTCTCTGTGTGAGTCTATGGGTCTCTGTGTGAGTCTGTGGGTCTGTGTGAGTCTGTGTGAGTCTGTGGGCCTCTGTGTGAGTCTATGGGTCTCTGTGTGAGTCTATGGGTCTCTGTGTGAGTCCATGGGTCTCTGTGTGAGTCTATGGGTCTCTGTGTGAGTCTTTGGGTATCTGTGTGAGTATATGGGTCTCTGTGTGAGTCTATGGGTCTCTGTGTGAGTCTATGGGTCTCTGTGTGAGTCTATGGGTCTCTGTGTGAGTCTATGGGTCTCTGTGTGAGTCTATGGGTCTCTCTGTGAGTCTATGGGTCTCTGTGTGAGTCTATGGGTCTCTGTGTGAGTCTCTGGGTCTCTGTGTGAGTCTATGGGTCTCTGTGTGAGTCTATGGGTCTCTGTGTGAGTCTATGGGTCTCTGTGTGAGTCTATGGGTCTCTGTGTGAGTCTATGGGTCTCTGTGTGAGTCTATGGGTCACTGTGTGAGTCTGTGGGTCTGTGTGAGTCTGTGTGGGTCTATGGGTCTCTGTGTGAGTCTATGGGTCTCTGTGTGAGTCTATGGGTCTCTGTGTGAGTCTCTGGGTCTCTGTGTGAGTCTATGGGTCTCTGTGTGAGTCTATGGGCTCTTTGTGAGTCTATGGGTCTCTGTGTGAGTCTATGGGTCACTGTGTGAGTCTATGGGTCTCTGTGTGAGTCTATGGGTCTCTGTGTGAGTCTATGGGTCTCTGTGTGAGTCTATGGGTCTCTGTGTGAGTCTATGGGTCTCTGTGTGAGTCTATTGGTCTCTATGTGAGTCTATGGGTCTCTGTGTGAGTCTATGGGTCTCTATGTGAGTCTATTGGTCTCTATGTGAGTCTATGGGTCTCTGTGTGAGTCTATGGGTCTCTGTGTGAGTCTATGGGTCTCTGTGTGAGTCTATGGGTCTCTATGTGAGTCTATGGGTCTCTGTGTGAGTCTATGGGTCTCTGTGTGAGTCTATGGGTCTCTATGTGAGTCTATGGGTCTCTATGTGAGTCTATGGGTCTCTATGTGAGTCTATGGGTCTCTATGTGAGTCTATGGGTCTCTGTGTGAGTCTATTGGTCTCTGTGTGAGTCTATGGGTCTCTATGTGAGTCTATGGGTCTCTGTGTGAGTCTATGGGTCTCTGTGTGAGTCTATGGGTCTCTATGTGAGTCTATGGGTCTCTCTGTGAGTCTATGGGTCTCTATGTGAGTCTATGGGTCTCTATGTGAGTCTATGGGTCTCTGTGTGAGTCTATGGGTCTCTATGTGAGTCTATTGGTCTCTATGTGAGTCTATGGGTCTCTGTGTGAGTCTATGGGTCTCTGTGTGAGTCTATGGGTCTCTGTGTGAGTCTATGGGTCTCTATGTGAGTCTATGGGTCTCTGTGTGAGTCTATGGGTCTCTGTGTGAGTCTATGGGTCTCTATGTGAGTCTATGGGTCTCTATGTGAGTCTATGGGTCTCTATGTGAGTCTATGGGTCTCTATGTGAGTCTATGGGTCTCTGTGTGAGTCTATTGGTCTCTGTGTGAGTCTATGGGTCTCTATGTGAGTCTATGGGTCTCTGTGTGAGTCTATGGGTCTCTGTGTGAGTCTATGGGTCTCTATGTGAGTCTATGGGTCTCTGTGTGAGTCTATGGGTCTCTATGTGAGTCTATGGGTCTCTATGTGAGTCTATGGGTCTCTGTGTGAGTCTATGGGTCTCTATGTGAGTCTATGGGTCTCTGTGTGAGTCTATGGGTCTCTATGTGAGTCTATGGGTCTCTGTGTGAGTCTATGGGTCTCTATGTGAGTCTATGGGTCTCTATGTGAGTCTATGGGTCTCTGTGTGAGTCCACGGAGGCCACCTCCACAGCGCACATGGGAGCCCCCCCCCCCCCCGGCCGCCACTCACCCCTCCCCCCCTCCCCCCCATCTCCCGCCCCCCCATCCCCCGCCCCCCCTCCCCCGCCCCCCCCTCCCCCCGCAGGGCTCCTGGACGTGTATGGGTTCGAGTCGTTCCCGATGAACAGCCTGGAGCAGCTGTGCATCAATTACGCCAATGAGAAGCTGCAGCAGCACTTTGTAGCGCACTTCCTGCGGGCACAGCAGGTGAGTGGGTCGGGGGGAGGGGGCCGCGGGTGGCAGTGGGGAGCCGGGGGCAGGGGTGGGGGGGGGCAGGGGTGGGGGGGCAGGGGTGGGGGGGCAGGGGTGGGGGGGCAGGGGTGGGGGGTGGGCAGGGGTGAGGGGTGGGGGGTGGGGGCTGTCGCGTTGTTGCTAAGCCGATGGAACGCGCCCGAGGTACGCGCGCTCCTTGGGAGTGCGTCCCGCATTGCGCGCGTGTGTGTGTGTATGTGTGTGTGTGCACGTGTGTGTGTGTGCACGTGTGTGTGTGTGCACGTGTGTGTGTGTGCACGTGTGCATGTGTGTGCACGTGTGTGTGTGCACGTGTGTGTGTGTATGTGTGTGTGTGCACGTGTGTGTGTGTGCACGTGTGTGTGTGTGCACGTGTGCATGTGTGTGCACGTGTGTGTGTGCACGTGTGTGTGTGTACATGTGTGTGTGTGCACGTGTGTGTGTGTGTGCATGTGTGTGTGTGTGCATGTGTGTGTGTGTGCTTGTGTGTATGTGTGTGTGTGCATGTGTGTGTGTGTACATGTGTGTGTGCGTGTGGATTTGTTTGTGTGTATGCGTGTGTGCATGTGTGTGTGTGTGCATGTGTGTGGGGAGCGGTAGTGTAGCGGTTAGCGCGCTGCGCTCTGAACCTGGCGACCCGGGTTCGATTCCCGCTCACGGCCAACACCAGTGACGATTATCTGAACCGGTCCCGGGCCTCCCCTAGGTCGACTCAGCCTCAAATGAGTACCTGGTGCGGTGTGTAAACATCGCCACTAGGGATACAAAGGCGGTCGGGCATGGTGCTTGACGCACACCCCCTCGTGTGCCGTGCCGGCCTCCGCTCACGGCACTTGCCCCAGCAGTCTACTGAGGCTACACGGGGCATCTTTGTCTGTGTGAGCGCAGGAGGAGTACGTGCAGGAGGGGCTGCAGTGGTCGTTCATCGACTACGAGGACAACTCGAGCTGCCTGGAGCTCATCGAGGGCCCCGGCAGCGTCGCCACCCCGGTGGGGCCTGCGCCCAGCCTCTTCTCACTCCTCAACGAGGTGCGGTGGTGATGGAGTAGGGATGGTGGTTGTGGTGCTGCGGTGGTGGTGGTTGTTGTGGTGCTGCGGTGGTGCTGCGGTGGTGCTGCGGTGGTGGTGGTGGTTGTGGTGCTGCGGTGGTGGTGCTGCGGTGGTGGTGGTTGTTGTGGTGCTGCGGTGGTGCTGCGGTGGTGGTGGTGGTGGTTGTGGTGCTGCGGTGGTGGTGGTGCTGCGGTGGTGGTGGTGCTGCGGTGGTGGTGGTGGTGGTACTGTGGTGGTGGTGGTTGTGGTGGTGCTGCGGTGGTGGTGGTTGTGGTGCTGCGGTGGTGGTGGTTGTGGTGCAGCGGTGGTGGTGATGGTGCTGCGGTGGTTGTGGTGCTGCGGTGGTGGTGGTTGTGGTGGTTGTGGTGCTGCGGTGGTGGTGGTTGTGGTGCAGCGGTGGTGGTGATGGTGCTGCGGTGGTGGTGGTGCTGCAGTGGTGGTGGTGGTTGTGGTGCTGCGGTGGTGGTGGTGCTGCGGTGGTGGTGGTGCTGCGGTGGTGGTGGTTGTGGTGCTACGGTGGTGGTTGTGGTGCTGTGGTGTTGGTGTTGTTGTTAGTGGTGGTGGTGTGGCGATGATGTAGTCATGGTGATGATGGTGGTGATGGAGTAGGGATGGTGGTGGTGATGGTGGTGATGGCTGTAGTGGTGACGGCGGTGGTGGTGGTGGCGGTTTCGGTGGTGGTGGCGGTGGTGGCGGTGGTGTGGTCGCAGTGGTGGTTGCAGTAACTGCAGTTGCGATGAAACGTCATCGAGTCTCAAGACTTTTCAGGAGGTTCCAGCCAGGTTGTCGCAGTATGTCCGACACTCACTCACTCTCACTCACTTACTCAATCACTCACCCACTCAATCACTCACCCACGCATTCACCCACTCACTCACTCGCTCACTCACTCACTCACCCACTCATTCACTCATCCACTCACTCACCCACTCACTCACCCACTCACTCACTCAATCACTCACTCGCTCACTCACTCACTCACCCAACAATCACTCACTCACTCACCCACTCAATCACTCACTTGCTCACTCACTCACCCACTCAATCACTCACTCGCTCACTCACTCACTCACCCAACAATCACTCACCCACTCACTCACTCACCCACTCAATCACTCACCCACTCAATCACTCACTAACTCAATCACCCACTCACTCACTCACTCTCACTCACTTACCCACTCAATCACTCACTCACTTACCCACCCAATCACTCACCCACTCACTCACTCACTCTGCAGAAGAGCGGGAGAAGTTACCAACCCCACATAGAAAGAAGTTCGCCCGAATCGGGAGTCGAACCGAGGTGCTTCCCGCTTTGGGGCTCGACCGTCACCGACCGTGAGGGTGCGTGTGCGAGCGGTGTGCGTGCACGTGTATGTGCGCGTGTGAGCGCAGCGCACTTTACTTACGAACCTGGCGGTCCGAGTTAGATTCCCCGCTCCAATAACAGTGGCGAATATTTGAACCGGTGCTGGACCTCCCCTAGGTCGACTCAGCCTCAAATGTGTACCCGGTGCGATGTGTAGTAAACATCAGCACTGGCGAGACAAAGGCCCGGGCGTGGTGCCGGCCACCCACCCCCTCGTGTGCCACAGTGCCGGTAGCCTTCATAGGTGCTGCTACTCGCTAACAGCACTTGCCCCAACAGTCTGTGAAGGCTACACGGGGGATCTTTGTCTTTGCGTGCATGCGCTCGCAGGCTTGCCGCGCGAACCGCGAGTCCAACGCGGCGGCGCTGGACACGCACCTGCGGCGCACGCTGGCCGGCCGGCGCTGCATGTCGTGGCCACGCTTCTCGGACGCGCCGGAGTTCGTGGTGGAGCACTACGCCGGCTACGTCCCCTACCGCATCGAAGGCCTCGCGCAGAAGAACGAGGTCCGTTCACCGCCTCCGCCGCCGGACGTCACGGCGACGTCGGGGGGCGGGGGGAGTCGAGAGGTCGTGGCGAGCGTCATCACCGGACGACGAAATCTCCCGATGGGGTTTTGGGGTCGTGCCACGCGCTGTTTCGTCGCGGCTTCCGACGTTCCGGTCCGTGCGAGACGTCGGAAGTCGACGGCGATCGACGACCCGGGATGGCCTCGGAGATAGCCAGCGCCGGGCGCGATGCCGCGTCAGCGAGGCAGGGTTTGGGCCTCGACGAATGCCTGGGCGAGAAACGGGGCCTCCGGCCACGGCTGGTGGTCACAATGATCACCGGGGAGCGCACACGTGGAGCCCATGCCTCCCGTTACGCCGTCTCGTCAAACTCTCAAAGTCGCGTCACGGGATCCACGCACGCGATCGTCATTCCCTGCCACTCTTCTGCTGTGTTTCCGGTGCAGGACCCGGTCCCCCCCGAGCTGATCACCCTGCTGGAGGGCTCCCACAATCCCCTCCTGCAGCAGCTGTTTCCCATGTCGCCGGCGGGCGGCGGGGAGCCTCCGTCTCCCGCGCCACGCGGCAAGGCCAGGGTCACGACCGTCGTGTCAAAGTTCAAGGTTCGCCCCACACCGCTCCCAGTCGCGAATTCGCATCGCTCGTTCGGTTCTGCACTCGGTTTGGCTAAAATTCGACCTCTGAGAATGACAAGCACTGGGTCTCGCCATGGAGACCGGCGGGGTGGGTTGAGTTACGCCGCTCCGGGAGAGTTCCGTCTCCCGATAGCGACGGCGCGCCACGAAGTGGAGGCTCAGCACAGCCGGCGGCGTGTCGCTGTGCGTGTCACTGCGTGTGTCGCTGTTTGATCTGACTGCTACGCGTGTCTCTGTGTGTGTTGCAGACGTCGCTGGACAGCCTCATGAGGCTGCTGCAGTCGTCGACGCCGCACTACGTGCGCTGCATCAAGCCCAACGCGGCGTGCCGGCCCCACACTTTCATCCCTGAAGAGGTGAGGCCGAGACCAAGTGAGGCTGGGATCAGGTGAGGCCGGGACCAGGTGAGGCATGGACCAAGTGAGGTCGGGGCCAGATGAAGTTGAGACCCGGTGAGGCTGGAACCAGGTGAGGCCATGACTAGGTGAGGCTGAGCCCAGGTGAGGCTGAGACCAAGTGAGGCCAGGACCAGGTGAGGCTGAGACCAAGTGAGGCCAGGACCAGGTGAGGCTGAGACCAGGTGAGGCCAGGACCAGGTGAGGCTGAGCCCAGGTGAGGCTGGGACCAGGTGAGGCTGAGACCAGGTGAGGGATAGACCAAGTGAGGCCAGGACCAGGTGAGGCTGAGCCCAGGTGAGGCTGGGACCAGGTGAGGCTGAGCCCAGGTGAGGCATAGACCAAGTGAGGCTGGGACCAGGTGAGGCCAGGACCAGGTGAGGCTGGGACCAGGTGAGGCCGAGACCAGGTGAGGCTGAGACCAAGTGAGGCTGGGACCAGGTGAGGCCGAGACCAGGTGAGGCATGGATCAGGTGAGACCGGAACCTGGTGAGGCTGGTACCAAGTGAGGCCGGCATCAGGTGAGGATGCCACCAGTTGAGGTTGTGACCAGGTGAGGCCGGGACCCACCGGGGCAAGTGGCAGGTGGCAGCACTCTGGGTGTGCTGGCTCCGTGGTGGCGGTGGAAGCTGTGGTTGTGGTATGGGTTGTGGTTTCTCACGATGGTGATGGTGGTGGTGGTGATGTGTCGTTGCCGGGTGACCAGGTTCTGCCGCAGCTGGAGGCGTGCGGCATCGTCGAGACGATCAACATCAGTGCCGCGGGGTTCCCAGTGAGGTGCGGGGTGAACATACACACGTACACACACGTACACACACACACATACACACACGTACACACACATGTACAACAACAACAACCGCCATTCGCCACTAAGTGGCGGTGACGTCACCACGACGCTTGTGCCAGGCCATGTGCACCTTGAGGCCACGTGAAGCGTCGAACACCCGCTGGCAGGAGGTCACGGGGCAGACCCAGGTGCCATGGGTCGACTGACTGAGATGAATGAGATGACTGAGATGACTGGCTGATGCACCACCTGTGCCCCCTACTGTACCAACCTGCTGTGCCTTAGCCACCCGGCGCTCCGCTCGTTGTTGTGTGTCGCTCCTCCGCCCTCCGTTGTTGTTGGAGGGCGAATACCTCCCACTGCCCAATAGCGTCCATCACGAGCCTCCTCCACAGAGGCCGATCTTGACACCTCTGGTACCAGTCATCAGCAAGTCCACTCAGCTCCATCTCTTCTCTAGCCCGTGCCGCGCTCATTTAGCCCCCTCGATCCGGCCAAACAAAAGCTGTTTCGGCATGCGGTGACTAGGCATGCGGGCTACATGACCCAGCCAACGCAGCCTTGCCTGCCGGAGATGTTCCATTAGGGGGGTCCACGTTTCGCAAGCGTAGAGAAGGGAGGGAATGACTGTGGCCGAGAAGACCTGAAGCTTCGTGTGGAGCGACAGACCAAGTAGCTTCCACACAGTGTTACGCAACCGATGAAAAGATAATGCCGCTTGACTGATTCGGAGTGAGACCTCTGCTGTTAAACTGGAGCCGGTCATGAGCACACTGCCCAGGTATGGGACACTCTCCACTCTCTTCACACCAATTGGGAGTTGTGGGGGTGGATTGTCCGATGGTACAAAATACTCAGGCAGGTGCTTAGTTTTGGTGGGGCTGATGGTAAGGCCCCACCTCTTAATGGCAAGCTCCAGGTTCAGCAGCAGCGCCTCCAACTCCTCCTCTGGGTGAACAGCAATTACCAGATCATCGGCATACATAACATGGTTGAGCAATAAGGAGTCATCCCTTGACCGCACCCGGGCATCGGTCAGCCGCCCATTGTATCTGTACCAGATGCAAATTCCTCCGGTAGAGCTATTGAAGGCTTCACGAACTACTTGATCGAAATAGATGTAAAATAATGTGGGGGCCAGAGGACATCCCTGTCGCACCCCAAGGTGTACAGGGAATGGCTCCGACTCCCGGCCACGTAGTTTTACCCGGGCCCACTCACCATCATGAAGGTCCGTAATGATCGTGAGCAGAGTGTAAGGGACTCTGAAAGCACGAAAAACAACCCAGCGGCCAGACCTACTGATGGTATCATAGGCCTTAACCAGGTCAATAAAGCAGAGATGTAGGTCTTGTTGGAATTCCCTTCACCTCTGCTGTAGCAGACGGAAAGAAAATATGGCATCTGTGCAGGACCGCCCTTTCCTGGAACAGCATTGGGGCTCCGCAAGCCTCTCCTCAGCGTGCCTAGCAAGGCGATGTTGAATAATTCTTGCCAGGACCTTTCCCGGCACACTGAGGAGTGAGATGCACCTGTAGTTGTTACAGTCTGTGCGGTCCCCCTTCTTAAAGTGGGGGACCACCAGGGCATCCTTCCAATCCTGCGGAACCCGTCCAGTGGTCCAGACTGTTGTTATGATGTCATGTAGGGCAGTCTGTGCACAAACGCCACCCTTCCTCAGCAATTCGCTTGAGAGATCATCTCTGCCCGCTGCCTTTCCTGGTCTCAGACTCCGGATCGCCTTCAGTACTTCCTCAACAGATTGCACCTCAGCCAGCCACTCACAGGGGGTGACTTCTGCTTTCAATATTTGAGGCACCGCAGCCTCGGCAGGGTTATCCCCACTTTGTGCCATGTTGTTTTCCAGGCTGAGGGATTTCGCTTCCCCCAGGACCTCACAGAAATGCTCTGCAAATCTGCGAACCTGTTCCTGGGGGTCGGAGATTGAATCACCGTTCTTTCCCCTAATGATGGTAACAGGTGTGGCGCTGCAGGTTACTTTTTTGATGGAATTAAAGAGCGATTTGTGATCGCGGGCCATTGAGGCAGACTCCATCTCCTCAGCAACCCGCGACCACCACCCATCCTTGCAGCACCTCACGGCTCTCCGAACCTCCGAGCGAAGGCTGCGGTAAGCCTCCTCATTCTTCGACGTGGGATGCTGTGAGATGAGAGTGGGCCTTTCTCAGCCAGCATGAACACCTCCTCTGTCAGCCATGGTCTCTGAAGAGGTCTAGACCATGTACCAAAAGCAGCCATTGCAGCTGCATGAGCCAAAGTCCTAAACCTCACCCATTTCCCCTGGACATCAGGAGGAGTCGGGAACGATGCCAAACCCAGTCACAAGCGATGATGAAATTCTCGCTTGCAACTTTCATCAGCTAGCTGAGACCATGCCACTATGGGTTTGAATGGGGTCCTGGGTATGCACCCACCACCGGAGTGAAAGAATGGCAGGCGCATCTTACAGATGACAAGTCGATGGTCAGTGGGCAGATCAGCTCCACGGTAGGTCCTGGTGTCAAGGACATGGGCCCGCATCTGCTGTTCCATCACTATGTAGTCCAGCAGATGTTCTTGCTTGGACCTGGCATGCATCCATGATGTTGTGTGGATGTGCCGATGCCGGAACAGCGTGTTGGTAATTACAAGCCCATGGGCTGCACAAAAATCTAGCAGTCTCCTGCCGTTGTTATTGAGCTGATCTGGCCCATGCCTTCCAATCACTCCAGACCAGGTGCCAGCATCATGACCAACTCGGGCATTGAAGTCACCCAACAGGATGACCATTTTAGCTAGCATCTGTGACAGGAGGTCATAGAAGGCATCTGACTCATTGGCCTTGCCTGCATCCCTCCACGGATGTTCTTCTTCAGTGGGGGCATAAGTAACCACGACCACCACTCCTCGCCTCTGGTTGATGGGAAGGCGAGCCCAAAGTAGCCTGGGGCTTACAGCTTCCCACACCTCACCGCCATGCTCCCACGCCCCCTTCATTCTTTTGTTCAGAAGAAGAGCCACTCCCTGTTGTTTGGCAGTCTCCTGTCCCAAGTAGAGGACTGTCCACCCCTCATGGTGGCAGGAGCCAGAGCTGGTCCACCGGGCCTCCTGAATACCACAGAGATGCAGGCGGTACCAGTCCAGCTCCCGACAAAGGAGTGGCAGCCTCTCCTCCGCAGTGAGCATTCGAACATTGCACGTGGCCACACGTAGTTTCTGGAGGAGCCCCAAGGGTAAGGATTCAGTCTCCTGGCTCTGCCAAATGGGGTTTGGCGAGGAGACGTCCTCGCCCCCGTCCAGAGCCCGCAGCTGTGGTGGTTACAGACGCCATGAAGGGAAAGGCCAATCTAAATTGGCCCTCCCCCTACGGCACTGCCCACCACAGCGTCGCCGTCCGGCACCACGAGGAGGTAGGGGGTTGTTTTTGCCAGACGTACACACACACGTGCACACACATGTACACACACGAACACACACGTACACACACACACACGTACACACACATGTGCACACACATGTACACACACACGGGCACACACACGTACACAGACATGCACACTCACATGCACACACACGTACACACACACTTAACAAACTGTAGGGGAAAATGCTGTTAGTGAGCACCTATGAAGGCCGGTACGGCACACGAGGGGGTGGGTGGCCAACACCACGCCCGGCCGCCTTTGTCTCCCGAGTGGCGATGTTTACACATCGCACCAGGTACTCATTTGAGGCTGAGTCGACTTAGGAGAGGCCCAGGACCGGTTCAGATAATCGTCACTGGTGTTGCCCGTGAATGGGAAACGAACCTGGGTCGCCAGGTTCGTAGCGCAGTGCGCTTACCACTGCGCCACCTTCCCATATCGGTTCCCATACATTTTATTTTAATATTTTTTATCCATCCCATCAGCCACACAGCCTTTGGAAAGTGCATCATTTCAGCAACATTGGTTCAACGCAGGTGCAGCAGCAGCAGCATCACCAGCCCGTCCCGACCAGCGTGGCAAAGTACACCGTGGGGAGGCCAGTGGATTGACCCCAGGGGGGGAGGGGGGGGGGCTTGGCACGCCGTCTGCAAGTGTGGATAGCGAGTCCGCTCGCTTTTGTCCGTTATCTAACCCGCTCCGGCGTCGCAGGGTTCCGCACCAGAGTTTTGTGGACCGCTACGGCGTGCTGCTGGGATCGGCCCACGACCCCGCGGGCGAGGCAGCGGCGAGCGGCCACGAAGGGCCGGGCGGGAGCGGCCACAGCGGGCCGGACGACCCCGACGGACGGAACGCGAGCGCGCGCCAGCGCAGACGACGTGAGGCCCGGACGATCGTTTGCTTTATTAACTTTTTTTGCTTAAGCTATAAACGAAACAATTCAACTATTTTTCTTTTACCCGGTAGGCCCGCGTGGAAATTTATAGCAGCAGCGAGAGACTCTAAACGAGCGATGTCGATCCTAAACGTGGAGGGATAAACTGGAGGACCCGGAGAAATATAGGGGAGAGAGACGACCCCCTGTATACCAGGCGAGGTAGTTAACATCTCCTAGCCACCGTGGTACAGCACACTTGCTCATGTGCTGTGAAGAAGGGCCATTGCCCGAAATGTCGCCTATTATCTACTTTACCTATTCAAGGCAACATACGCTCGGAGTGTTCTTGACGCAGGACCGCTTTGAGCCGAGCTGCTGGTTGCTGCTGGTGCACCACTGCAGAAAGCAGCTGCGGGCGCAGCAGCGTCGCCAAACTTTCACTTTCCTATTAAAAAAACGCATTGTGACGTCGTAAAAAGCGGGGACCGCCTCTACCGAGCGGGCTAGAGCCTGGATAGCGCTTAGTCGGGCACCCACCACTGCTGGGGGGTTAGAGGCTGCGGAGGGGTCAGCGCAGCGGGGAGCGACGGGGCGCTCCGCTCTGCTGCCGTCGGCGTGCCCACAGGCCGCGTCGCTCTGGGACGCGCCGACGCTTCGGAGCGCATTCTGGAGCTGGCAGTGGCCGTCGGCCGCAAGCCTCCATCACCGCCGGCGTCGCGGCCGTCGTCGCCACCGTCGCCGACATCGTCGGCGCCTCCTCGTCGCTCCGCCGCCGCGCACTGCGGCAAAACCAAGATCTTCCTGGCGCAGGAGACGGTGAGAGCGGCGCGTCTCGCGAGGGACGAATGCGGCGGCGGTGGCGGGTGGGGGGGATTTGCGTACCGCGGTCGGCATGGGCCGTGAAACAGGGTCCCCCCGTCTCCAACGTCACCAGGTTTGCCAGCACCCAAAGCCGCCCCCCCTCACCCACCCAACCCCCGGTGCTCGCCACCCCCCCCCCCCCCCCCCCCCCACCTCTTCATGGTTTTGACCAGAGTACAACATGTACACCTGGCCCTCAAAAGGAATGGATACTCTGACCGTACCATCCGCCAAGCTGTTTCTCCCTCCATACAGAAACAACCACTTGATATTCCGGTCAAAACCATCACACTACCATATATAGCAGGCGTTACTAAAAAGATTTCCAAAATTCTAAACAAACACAAGATCCAGGTCCGGTTCAATACAGTATACAAAATTCGTGATCTGATCCCATCCGTGAAGGATGTCATTCCTGACTTACAGTATCCCGGGGTTTACAAATTGAGTTGTACCTGCGGTGATTGCTATATCGGGGAGACGAAGCGACATGTCTCTGACCGAGTTCGCGAGCACAAATCAGATTTGAAACACGGCAGAACGAATTCTTCTGCCGTGGCTGATCACTGTTACAACGCTGTGGGTGATCACGATATAATTTTCTCCGATACCAAGGTTCTTTGCAAACCCACGGGTTTTTATCAGAGATATGTTCACGAGGCAATTCAGATCTACAAACACAGACACAATTTCAACCGAGAAGATGGTTTCAAATTAAGCAACCATTGGAAAGATGTTCTAAATCGAACCAAACATTAAACAAATTTTCAATGGTACAGTATATTTTTGCAGCTTCTTAAAATTCCCTTTTCACACCATCAATATGTAAACTCCCCCCCCCCCCCCCCTCGCCGGCCTGCACATGTTCACCCCCTCTACACCGTTCATCATGCTAAGTCCGCCAATTAAATGCTAATTTTTATGTTAAGTCCTTTGTCAAGGCACCTTAATTCCTCTCACACAGCTTAAAGGTCGCGGTCTGAGCTTAGCTGTGTTTCACTCCAGCGCTGTCCTCTAGACAGTCTGGTCCCTTCACCTGATGAAGGCCACTTGTGTTGTGGCCTAAACGTCGTGATTTTTGTTGTTTTATTTTTTACCTACGTGACTTTACCGAATAGAACCAAAGAGTATAAATGAAACCAAACGATCTTACAAAACAATTATGCACATTTGCATTGTTTCGACCTCAATAATGTCAGTTTAAGAGAGTTACAGTGATGACAGAGTGGAGACAGCGGCTGGTTCCGGCCCGTGGGGCACGGTGCAATTCCGTCGCCTGCGCGCCGAAGTGACTCAAGTTGGGTAAAAACCGCGGACCGGCGTCGCCCCCCACCCCCACTGCTCGCAGCTGTCAGCCGTGCCGTGAAACCAGTCCCTGCGGCGATCGCGGTGCGGCTACGGGGCACGGCGCGAATGGCGAGCGCGCCGATGGTTATGAATCCCCGTTTGATTCGGTCGACAAGCGCCAGGGCCGTGCCGGCGTGACCCGAGATCTCGCCCCCGCGATCTGGCGCACGCAGCTCGAGAGCCTGGAGCAGGCCCGGCGCTGGGCGCTCGATCTGCGGGCGAAGCGGATCCAGGCGTGCTGGCGCCGTCTGCTGGCGCGGAGGCTGGCGCGGCGTCACCGGGCGACCCTCACCATCCAGGCGTGCTGGCGCGGGACGCTGGCACGGAAGCTGGCACGGAGCCACCGGGCGGCAGTTCGCACCATCCAGGCGTACTGGCGCGGGACGCTGGCACGGAAGCTGGCACGGAGCCACCGGGCGGCAGTTCGCACCATCCAGACGTACTGGCGTGGGACGCTGGCACGGAAGCTGGCACAGCGTCACCGGGCGGCAGTTCGCACCATCCAGGCGTACTGGCGCGGGACGCTGGCACGGAAGCTGGCACGGAGCCACCGGGCGGCGGCCCGTACCATCCAGGCGTGCTGGCGTGGGACGCTGGCACGGAGGCTGGCGCGGCGTCACCGGGCGGCACTTCTCACCATCCAGACGTACTGGCGGGGGACGCTGGCACGGAGGCTGGCGCGGAGCCACCGGGCGGCAGCCCGCACCATCCAGACGTACTGGCGGGGGACGCTTGCACGGAGGCTGGCACAGCGTCACCGGGCGGCAGTTCTCACCATCCAGACGTACTGGCGTGGGACGCTGGCACGGAGATTTGTGCGGAGACACCGGGCGGCAATTCACACCATCCAGGCGTACTGGCGCGGGATGCTGGCACGGAGGCTGGCACGGAGACACCGGGCGGCAGTTCGCACCATCCAGGCCGGTAAGGGATAGACGCCTTGCGGGTTCACCTACGGGCACCAGCGCACGTTGAGGAACAGCACACGGTGAGAAACGGCGTATCATGAGCAACGGCATATGACGAACCTTGGAGCACAAGGAGGCTGCTGCTGGCGAATGCAGGGAGCACTTAGAGGAATCCCTTCAGGGGTTGCTATTATTGGCCTACTCTTCCATGTCTTGGAACGGGTTAGGGGGGCTAGCCACACTTTGCCTGTAGGATTGCCAGGAAGTGGTTGTGGTACTTTACCAGAAAGTGGTTGTGGTACTTTACCAAGGCTTAGCCCGCCCACGTGAGGAGTGCGCAAGACGAGAGGCCTCCATTATTCCGTTTCAGTTTGGTCCAAAAGTTCCACAAAGTGGCGATGCATGCGGGGCGGCGTGCGCGTTTAAAGTTTCTGTTCACATTCCGTGGCTTTCTGACCTTTGCTACACTTCACACTGCTGTCGTGTTTGTCATTGTAACTTTCTGCCCCCACCTCTCCCACCCCCGTTGCCCCTTACTGGACATCTGTGAAAAAGAACGTCATCGCTCAATTGGATTCCTCCAGTCTGAATAAAAAACAAGGATTCTCCGATTCCCCACGCGACCCGCCGATCGATGACGCGACCGTGCGACGAGCCCAATTGTACCGCTGGGTGGACGGGGGCAGTGTGGGATGGGGTGGGGGCGGGGGGTGCTTTAAGAAACTGGCCCCGTTGTTTCAACTGCCGCGCCGGGAGATTGAACCGGCTGCGTGCGCGTTTCCCTTCCGCGTGCGGTGCAGGCTTCAGGGCCTGCCGGGCGCGCAGGGAGGCGACGCGGGCGCAGAGCGCCGCGTCCACTGTGCAGCGCGCGTGGAGGACGCGGAAGGTACGGCCGTCACGAGAACATTCACGTGAACAATCACGTGAACACTCACGTGAACCGAGGCACTCACGTGAACAATCACGTGAACCGAGGCACTCACGTGAACAATCACTTGAACAATCATGTGAACCGAGACACTCACGTGAACCGAGACACTCACTTGAACAATCACATGAACAATCACATGAACAATCACGTGGACAATCACGTGAACCGAGGCACTCACGTGAACTGAAACACTCACGTGAACAATCACGTGACCACTCAAGTGAACACTCACGTGATCACGTGACCACTCAAGTGAACACTCACGTGAACCGACTGTCAGGGCCAAGTGCCGTTTGCGAGCAGCGTGGGGCTACTCACTCAAAAGGTTGCAGTGACCTAAGGGAGGCCCAGGACCGGTTCACATATTTGCCGCTGTTATTGGCCGTGAGTGCTCACCTGCACGCGTTCACGCGGGCGCGTGCGTCGAAGCGCCCGCAGAGCATCGTGTGAGTAGCCCGCTGCATTTGTTGCACAACGTGGACGTAGTGATGTCGCTTAATTAACTTGCAACGTAAATCGCCTCTCCTCCATCCTTCTCTCTCTCTCTCCCTCTATCTGCCCCTCTCTCTTTTCCTGTCTCCCTGTCGCTCTCTCGGAGTGCAGCGCAGGATGGAGGAGTCGGCGCTGGATGAGCTGGACTCGGCGTCGTCTCCTCCGCTATCGGCGGTCGGCGCCACAAACTCTCCCGGTGGCCTCGTCCACCAATCACCCTCCTCCTCCATCACCGCCATCACCTCCCCATCCTCCTCCATCACCGCCATCACCGCCCCATCCTCCTCCATCAACTTAATCTCCCCCCCATCCTCCACCATCACCGCCATCACCTCCCCATCCTCCAACATCACCACCATCACCTCCCCATCCTCCTCCATCACCGCCATCACCTCCCCATCCTCCTCCATCAACTCCATCTCCTCCCCATCCTCCTCCACCATCACCACCACCACCTCCCCATCTTCCACCATCACCTCCCCATGCTCCACCATCACCACCATCACCTCCCCATCCTCCTCCATCACCGCCCCATCCTCCACCATCACCACCATCACCTCCCCATCCTCCACCATTAACGCCACTACCTCCCCATCCTCCTCCATCGCTACCATCACCTCCCCATCCTCCTCCATCACCATCACCTTCCCATCCTCCTCCACCAAAATCACCTCCCTATCCTCCAATATTGCCACCATCACCTCCCCATCCTCCACCATTTCTACCATTCTCTCCCCATCCACCTCCTCCGCCATCAACACCATGACCTCCCCATCCTCCGCCATCACCACCATCACCTCATCCTCCTCCATCACTACCATAACCTCCCCATCCTCCACCATCACCTCATCCTCCACCATCACCACCATCACCTCCCCATCCTCCACCATCGCCACTATCACCTCCCCATCCTCTTCCACCATCACCACCATCACCTCCCCATCCTCCACCATTGCCTCCCCATCACTCTCCTCCTCTGCCATCATCAACGCCATCACCTCCCTATCCTCCGCCATCGCGACCATGACCTCTCCGTCCTCCACCACCATCGCCACCATCGTCTCCCCATCATCCTCCATCAACCCCATCACCTCCCCATCCTCCACCGTCACCACCACCATCGCCACCATCGCCTCCCCATCATCATCATCATCCTCCTCCATCACCACGATCACCTCCCCACCCTCCCCACCCTCCGGCATCGCGCCCACCGGCCCCCCCTCGTGGCCTCACCGCCGCTCGGCGTCGCTGGGCGACCACGCGTATCCCGGGACGCTGCTGGACGTCGACTCCGGGGGTGGTGGTGCCGCCGGCACCGCGGCGGCGGCGGCGTGGCCGCGCCGGCGCTTCAGCCACTGGGGCCACGGAGCCCCCACCATCAAGATGTCCGCCCAGGGCATCGCGACCATCCGAGCGCTGCCCAGGGTGAGGGAAGGGGGCGGGGGGGGGGGGGGTCAGGGGGGCAAGGGGAGCGGAGGGACGACCCCCGTCGTGGTAGTGAGATGTAAACTACCTCGCCTGGTGTACAGGAGGTCGTGGGATCGATCCCTACCGCGATACCTTTATGTTTGGAGTTTGCGTGTCTCTCTCCCCGTGGTCGCGTGAATTTTTCTCCGGGTTTTCCCTCCACATTTAAAATCGACATCACGCATTTAGAGCATTTGGCTGCTGCTATAATTGTCAAGGTGACCAGCCACTTCATTGAGCGGGCATTTGTGGCCAGGTCACTTCTGAAAAAGAGCTACATAGCTCAGTGGGCCTTACCTGGTAAAATAATGGCCCCCAGTCAACCTTTGCTCAGTGGGAAGTTGCTCATTCTCCTCTGCTGCACCCACAGTCTGGAACTCTCCTCCCAGCCGTCTGTGCTGCCAACTCCCTGCCCCGGTTCAAGGCCAAACTCAAGGCCGTGCCCTTGCGCTCTGCCAATGGATGACTGCGTGCCTCTTTATGTAAAGTGATTAGAAAATTAACGTGGCCACTGATTCTGTACAGCGCCTTAAGGCGCTTTGCTGTCCTCAGTGGGTGCCCGCTTACAGCACTCGCCCCGGCAGTCTGATGAAAGCTACACGGGGATCGAGTGTGTCCGTCTTTGTCTTGTGTGAGCGCGCGTGCTTATGGGGAGCGGTAGCGTTGCGGTTAGCGCGCTGCGCTACGAACCCGGCACTCCGGATTCGATTCCCGCTCGCGGCCAACACCAGTGACGATTATCTGAATCGGTCCTGGGCCTCCCCTAGGTCGACTCAGCCTCAAATGAGTAGCTGGTGCGATGTGTAAACATCGCCACTGGAGAGACAAAGACAGTCAGGCGTGGTGCTGGCTGGCCACCCATGCCCTCGTGTGACGTGCTGGTCTACATAGGTGCTACTCGCTAACAGCACTTGCTCGGGCAGTCTGTTACAGGCTATACGGGGGATCTTTGTATGTGTGTGTGTGGCCTTCATAGTGCCCAGCCCAATAGTCAGCTAAGGTTATACGGGGGATCTATGTCGTTGTGTGTGTGCGCGTGTGTGTTCGTGCAGGCCAGGGTCCACCTGCGGGTCGCCCGCTCGCCCCTGATGCACGCCGACCGCTGCCCCAACTCCCTGGCCTCTCCGGGCGGCGAGGGCCTCAACGACCTCGCTCTCGTCTGCTAGCGCCGCCGTCCCCTCGATCCCGGCTCTACGTGACCTCTCGCGACCTCACGTAACCCCCGGCCCCGCGCCATTCCGCGTGGCTGCAGGGGCTGCCAGGAATCTCACGAAGGAGAACCTCTCAGGACGACAGAAGAGGGGAGGCACCACGAGTAGCTCAATCGTCGGGACTCCTCACGTCCTCCGGGAAGACGGACAGAAATTGCCGCAACTGCCGTTGCCTCTTCGATGGGTGTCGACTCGCCGATTGTTCCATGCGAAGCCGGCGTTCCGCTGGGAGCTGCCCTGCGCCCGTCCCTGCCCCGGCGATTGTGCCGACTCCACCGGCAATCCGGCCCGGTGGTCACTCGCCCACTGCCCCAAAGACACTGTTGGCACACGCGGTTAATGGACAGAAGACTCGGATGCCGCGTCGTGCTGCGCTGCGCGAGTATCGATCTGCGATCGAGCGCCGTTTAATTTTCTAGTTTCCCGTCGGGGCGAGCACGCGAATGACCGCGAGCTCCAGACTAAAACTAAACTATAAACCATTTTTTTTATTTTACCAAGTAAGGTCCACTGAACTACTTAGATATTTTTTCAGAAGCGACCTGGCCATCACAAATGATAGCTCAACGAAGTGGCTTATCACGTGGACATTTACAGCAGCAGCCAAATACTCTAAATGCGTGATGTCGATTCTAAATGTGGAGGGAAAACCGGAGGACCCGGATAAAAATCCACGTGACCACAGGGAGAGAGAGAGAGACACACCGCAAACTTACGAGACCTCCTGTATACCAGGCGAGGTAGTTAACATCTCGAGCTAGCTAACGCCGAACTGCCCAGGGGACCCGTCTCGCTCACTGGCGGATCCTGGCGATTCCTGGCGATTCCTGGCGGGTTCATGAGCAAGACGTCCGTCGCTTCGCTGGGAGCTTCCTCTGAATTCCAGTTCCTGTAGAGGCGTGCATTCCCGGGTGATTTGGTCACGTCTTAAGTATTTATATACAGTATATTTTAAGTAATCATGGATTTTGTTACACGGCGATGAACGCTACTGCATGAGCGTTTTGATTGCCATTCGCTAACTGTGACCTGATTGTATCCGCGTTCTAACGAGATCCTCCGCCGGGTGATTTGTGTTCGTGGCCACCACGAGCGGCGGTAGAACACGGCTCTGGTGACACGTGATTCAGACCGCACTTCATCACACTTTACTTTGGTTACTTGAACAAATACTCTAAGGTCACTTTGACAGCAGGGGAGCCTGATTTGACTTCTCTTCATTGTGTTTGCTTCATTGTATCATGCTATATACAGGGTGTTTTAAAAGGATGAACCTAATTTCAAAGCAGTATATTTCACGATGGCAACATGTTACAATTACACAAAAAGTTACAAACGGTTTTATGAGTTATCAAGTTTTACTAACCATTTTATAAATGCTCTATGTGCCCTCCACCTGCTGTACGTACAACATCGAGACGATAGTTGAATTCGTCCCAAACGCCTCTCAAAGTGTCTTCTTCCACTGAAGTCACCGCTGCCGTGATTCTGTTTTTGAGGTCATTCAGATTAGTCGCTAATGGTGGCACAAGAAAAAGTCGCAGGGTGTGGTGATGTCTGGGGATCTTGGGGGCCAAGAGTGTAGCGCCAAGTCTTGGGGTCCCGTGCGACCTATCCAATGTTGAGGCAGTGCGTCTTGCGAATGACTGTGGCTAGGGGCTGTTTGTGTACTAGGGGAGGCATCTAGCGGTAATCATTTGAAACTCTATGCCCCGCCCTCTCTATGCCCCACCCTCGCTATGCCCCGCCCTCTCCATGCCCCGCCCTTTCAAGTGGTAAGAGTTTCATTCATGGGCGGTTCGTGGTTGCATAGATATAGTTGATTTCAAATCGGGTCCATATATTTGAAACACCCTGTATTATTAAAAAAGTTTTGCTGGCTGGCTGGCTGGCTTCCTGCCTCGCTGTCTGACTGGTGCACAACTGCAGGTGCGTGATGACGTCACCTGCATCCCAAAGCGTTGAGCTGGGTTCGTGCATTGCGCTGACGTCTTGCCCCTCTCACCCTCCCACCCACCATTCTAACCACTCTCCACCATAACCGTGTATCCTGCACAAATGTGGGGGATGTGCTATCATGCAAGCATATCATGTGCTATATTCGACAAAAGTTTTGCTGGCTGGCTGGCTGGAGGGAGGGGGGGATGGACGAACGGTCACATCCGAAAGGAGGTGTGGGCTGCCCGTTATTATGTTTAACGATGCAGTTATTTACAGCACTTTGTCATTCGCTGCTGAATGAAGGCCTCTCCCCGCGCCGTGCAGTACGAGTTGGTGAAGGGAGGGGGGGAGGGCGCGGGAGTTGTGTAAGATATCACCCGCCACTGATGTTAGCCGTGGCGGTGCCGGGAATTGAACTCGGGTTGCCACATGTCCCTCAAGCAGAACGGACTGCAAGGAATCCGTTGTCCCCTAACCCAGGGGGGGCCGGCAACCAAAATAACAAGAGTACTTTTATATTTAGAACTGGGTTTCTTTGAGAGCCCGCACAATGCTTCGGAGCCGCAGGATTGCCAACCCCTAGTCCTTACTCCGCTAACGGTTTGCCCGATTCTCAAGTCGCGTGTCACCTTCGCACAAGTCAACACACTGCACGATCCATTTAGAGACGCCTCACTAAATAAATGCTCGGGGGACGCAACGTGTACCGTGCCGGCCTTCACAGATGCTCGCGAACAGCACTTGCCCCCACAGTCTGTTAAGGCTATGACGGGGGACCTTTGTCTTTGTATCCTTGCAATATAACGTTTTAAAGAGTTGTCCGCAATGCAGTTTGATACTGAGATAAAATCGCAACCCTATTATTATTACGACTACTGGATATGCGGACATTGCATCATGCGATGAACGGCACTGACGATATCACTCTGGCACTGTCGCTTGAGACTTATTTTGGCGAATGTGCGTCGCCTTGCCTGACCGATGCATAGTGTCGGGCTGCTGTGGCGATGTTCAAGTTGGGTTCGTGTAACCAGGAGGCCAGGATAGAGTCTCATTTAGCAACGGTGACCTGGGGGGACATTGATTTGCTGCCAGAAGGCGTGCGATGATCGCTGCTCTGCGTGCGATCCCACTGGGGTAACTTGGCGGCATGAATCCTGGAACGGAGTAAATTTTGGAGCCTGACGGTGGCACACAGTGGCCGCCCACTGTTGCCAATGACGTGAATGGGATCTGTAAAAGTCGATGGTGGAGTGGATGGCGCGTGGCGTCATGAGGGCCAATACACCGGCAGTATTAATCGGGACGGCCGCTCGATATCGAAACCGCGAACGTCTGCAACAAAGCGACTTCAAGCCCCCCATCTCTCGCGACTGCCATGACCGCTGCCTGCGCCCGTTCATCCCCAACGTTGTCGCAACGTCATTTATCTCGTGCCTTTCTCTGGGATTTGTGTGCCTCGATGGCCTCTGTGCTGTGATGAAAATAAATGAAGTGTTCAGAGCCTCGTGTGTGTGTGTGTGTGTAGCGCCCCGTTTGCCGAAGTTATAACTGTTCCCGGTGGAACGAGGCATTTTGGTGAGGCACGCTCAAAGCCGTTCGGAACAGGAGAATCGCAACGTCTGTACGGTGATTCGTAAATTTGGTTTGTGTGTCGTAAAACCTCCTCCACCCGACGCAGCCAATTAATAAAAGTGTCGCGTAAATCAAACGTGGCCAGATGTATGACTGCATCAGCAGCACCGGCGGGTGTTGTTGTTGCTGGAGAGAAATCTGATAAGGTCTAAATGGGTACCGGCGTATCGCTGGAGATCACATCCAGCATCATCAGGTTGTTAAACAGGAGCTCGGCTCTATGGATTAAAGCACTTCCTGATCCGGGTCCTGAAGTAGATGCCATGACGTCATCGACAGTCAATCACGTGCTCTAATTTAATAATTAATTGCTAGTTGATAGGTTGTGACTGCCAGGTTAGGTTTAGTGCAGGCGTCTGAAACCTGCGGCTCCGAGGCCCTTGGCGGCTCTTTAAGGCACTGCTTCGTGACGTTATTTATTACGGACCGTCTCGTCTTCACCACACAGTGCAATGCGGCTCTTGATAATATTGAGGGTTTTTTTTACCGAACTCGGAAAAAAAATGTCTCTTCTTGTTATTTTGGTTGCCGACCCCTGGGCTGGTGTATTAATGTGAATAATCACTTTAACGTCGTTACCCGTGTAAATGTTGCGTGATAACTCTCCAACAACAACAACACCACGAGGTGGTGCTCCTGAAGCAGTAACACACGTGGCCGCGTTTCACTCACGTGACAACGTTTATGAATTGGCTGTGTCGGGTGGAGGAGGGTGTGTACGACACGCATTTTTTTTACACGACGACCGAAACCCAAAAGAATAATATTGGTCGTGAAAGTCTGCGTATAAACGTTAGGGTCATTTGTGGAAAACAGATGCATACAGTCACGTGATGTTCGTTTGTGGACTGTTTACCTGAAAGCAGATGTCAGAACTACTTCTTAGAGCCATTTAAGTGACCTCTGATTTAAACAAGAGAGGGCAGCAATTTCCTCACAAAGTGAATGCTCATAAACGTAACGGTCAATACACTAGTTTTCATCTTCTCAGCTGGAATTCATCCGCGTTAAACGGCAGAGCCAAATTTAACAATGTACACGAGAACCTGGTTTAATCACAACTCAGTCTGTATGAGTCCATGGGTCTCTATGTGAGTCTTTGGAACTCTGTGTGAGTCTATAGATCTCTATGTAAGTCATTGGTGACTGGGCTGAGGCCATTAACTCGATGCCCTTGGGAACTCAGTGGTTTAATCACAACTTAGTCTATGTGAGTCTTTGGATCTCGATGTGAGTCTATGGCTCTATTGGTATTTATATGAATCATTGATGGCCGGGATGAGGCCATCAACTCACTGCCCTTGAGAATCTCGTGGATTAATCGCAAGCGGGTTGGTGGCTGCCTGGAGTCGAACCCAGGTTCTCAGCGGGCTCGGCCC